GTGGTGGAGACTGACTGCTTTTACTGCTTTTACTGGTCAGGTTGTAGCCAGCAGGACAAGAAGTTGCTCTCAATTCCCCCGTGGCACCCACAGATCCACACCTGGAGCACCGTGCCCAGTTCTGGGCTCCTCACTGCAACAAAAGCAGGGCCACCAAAATGATCTGAGCACTGGAGCCCAGGGCAGGGTGGGAGAGGCTGGGGGAGCTCCTTGTGCCTGGAAGGTGGCACCTAGGAGCACTGCAGCACCCTTAAGGACCCTGCCAACCCACACCACTGCAGGATTCTATGATTTGTGCCCCTCTTCCAGTCTGATTTTGTGATCCCACAGGGAATTAAGGGCAGGTAGGGCTTTGGGTGCCCCCCAAAGTGGAGGGGCTGGTGAGGCTCATGGCAGGAGTTCACCTGCTCATCCCCCAGTGACACCACAAGGAAGGAGAAGGGCCTGAAGTGCTGCCCATGCTGAGCTGGCTGGTGATGCACAGCCCTCCTTCCTGGGACACTCAGCTCCAAACCAGGAGCTTAGAACAGCTGAGCAAGATCCACAGCTCCTGGTGCAGCCACCCCCCTCGGGAGGGTTGGGCTGTGCCACTCAGACCCCTCCCAGCCTGCAGGGACCACCCTGACCCCTCAGGCTTCCCTTTCCAAGCCATTCCTGGCCGGGTCTGGTGCCCAGGGGTGCCAGCTCTGCTGCCTGTGCCTTCCTGCAGCCCTGGGGCCAAGGGCTGGGGAGCTCAGGGGGTCCTGGTGCAGGTGCATCTCCTGACCTCGGGGTGAGCCTTTCCTCCCTGCATTCCCAGTGCTGTAGGACACAGAGGCTTTGACTGGAGGAATGTCTGTACACGGGAGCCTGAAGGAGGGGTGCAAGAGGAGGGGAGAGTATTTTGGGAGGTGGGAAATGTGATGCTGGCACTGCCACATCAAAGAAGGAGTTGAACCTGAGCCTCTGATTTCACAGCAGAGTTCAAACTGGAATACTACACTTAAAAAAAAAACCCCAAAATGTATTTGGTATTTATTGTGCTTTCTCTCCCCCCATCTCTGGGTACCACCCACACATCAGAGCAGCTCCCAGAGGCAGGATCAGCGGCTGGGAGGCTCAGGGATGTTTCTGAGCAGCTTTCCTGAAGCCCTGAAAAACCTGGGAACCTCATCTTGCATGTGGGTGTGGGGCAGGAGCTGCTGGGGTAAACGGGAGCCTGAATGGGCTCTGGTTTGCAGTGGAGTTCAGGTTCCCAAGTCCTTTATTGGATCTAGCCCGGGGCTCTATTCCCAGCCTGTTTGTGCCATTAACAGGTCACTGCAGCCCCAGGGCTGTCCCCACCTTGTCCTGGCATGGGGGGGTCTCGGCACACCCAGCACGGAGGAATCAATCTGGGAGGGGAGCACGCCTCACTTCTGGTGTTTTCAAACTGTGCCACCGCTCCTGGCGTGCAGGAGGGCTGGAAATGGTGCCCGGGGTGCCCCGGGATGTGCAGGGATGTGCAGGGATTTCAGGATGCTGCCTGCAGGGTCCTGCCGGGGCAGCCTCTGCTCCATTAGTGCTCATTTGCATCCCCTAAAGATGAACTGGTGTGAGAGCAGCGCCCTGTGCCGGGCTGGGGACGGCTCAGGCACGGGATCCAGAAGGGGAGGTGTTGGGGAAGATGAAACAGGAAAGCCTTAAAAATGTGATTGTCTGGCAAAAGATTTTGAGAATATGGAAACTATAAGTGAGATTGAAATGAAAGCAAGCTTTGAGATCCCTCAGTTACTGAACAACTGGAAAACAATGGTGTGGCCAGCTGAAGGTGATCCCCTTTTGATGGAACAACACCCTCTGCTTGCAGACAGCTCCAAGGGTCAGAGCAGACCCTGCCGGCTTGGCAGAAGGGGCCCAAAGAGGAGTTTTTAGGGTTTAAAATGTAACACGGTATGGTAATGGAATGATTCTTATAGGCTGTATGGAAATGTTATAGGATTTGTATCTTGGACTAGATTGGTTAGTGAGAATCAGAATATTCAACACAGAAGAAGATTTATTGTATTGTAATGGGAACTTTGCTCTCTTAGCTCTTGCCCCTCTTGCCTCTTAGCTCTTACCCCATTTATTCTCCTACCCCCTTTTACTCTCTTACCCCTTTTACTCTCTCACCCTCTCATCCTCTCTGCCCTTCTCTTCTCTCAGGCCTGCTCTGAGCTGTGGCTGGCAGCTCCCAGCAGGGCCCTGCCCCCAGGCCCTTTGCAATAAACCCCAAGTTCCTGACCTGGCTGCAGAGATCTCTCGTCCCCATCTCTCCTGACCGTGCTACCCCCCAATGCTCCTACAGGAGGGAGGGTCCTGTGGTCCTGGCTCAGGTCCTGCACATCTTTGGATGAGTTGCTTAAGACCAGATTTGGTGCAGAGCACCTGGGAGTGTCTGCACAGCATCCTTACAGTCAGATATTGTGTTTCAAAGGCAGTTTGAACTTACATTCAGAATTCCAGAATGGTTTGGGTTGGAAAGGACCTCACAGCCCATCTCATTCTACCCCTGCCATGGCAGGGACACCTCCCACCATCCCAGGCTGCTCCAAGCCCCATCCAGCCTGGCCTTGGACACTGCCAGGGACCCAGGGGCAGCCCCAGCTGCTCTGGGTACCCTGTGCATGGGGCAGGATTTCACAGGGATGCTGAAAGCTCATGAGCATTCAAGGCTTCTCTCCTTGCAGGGCTTTGGTGCAGCTCCAAGGTCACTGTGGCAGGAACAACCTTCAAGAACAGTGCCTGTGGGTCCATCCCCATTCCAAAATGCCCATATTGAGGCTGTTCCGTGTGTGAGGGCACAGGTGGAGGGGGCACTCAGGCAGGGGATGCTCAGCAGGGCGTGAGGAGCCCATCTGGTGCCCAGCACTGGCACTGAGCTGGCACTGGCCGTGCCCGCGCTGGCAGGGGCAGCGTGCAGGGTGCTGAGAGCTCGGGCACAGGGACACCCCAGGGCAGGGCTGGGCAGAGATTCAGGGGCTGAGCAGGGATCTGGGGCTGAACAGGATGCTGAGATCTCAGCAGGGCTTCAGGATCTCAGCAGAGTTGGGGTCTCAGCAGGGATCTGGGGCCTGAGCAGGGCACTGGGGTCTGATCAGTGTTGGGGTCTGATCAGTGTTGGGGTCTGAGCAGGGCATTGGGGTCTGAGCAGGGCATTGGGGTCTGAGCAGGGCATTGGGCTCTGAGCAGGGTTTTGGGATCCGAGCAGTGTTGGGGTCTCAGCAGGGATTTGGGGTCTGAACAGGGCATTGGGATCTGAGCAGGGCATTGGGGTCTGAGCAGGGTTTTGGGGTCTGAGCAGTGTTGGGGTCTGAGCAAGGATTTGGGGTCTGAGCAGGGCATTGGGGTCTGGCAGCTCCTGGGTATAAGGGCTGGGACCACAGGGGTGGAGGAGGCACCTCCATGCCTTGTATCCTGGTGGTTTGAACACTTTCCTGGGAAATGGGGTAAGGTCCTTTCATGGGAAGGGCTTTCCAACCCCACATTCTCCCCTACCTCACTTCAGGAGAGCTCCCAGGGCAGCCCTCATCCCAAGGGAGCCAGTACACAGCCAAGGGGTAAATCCTGGCATTCCAAGGGGTAAATCCTGGCATTCCAATGGATGGAAGGGCTGTGGGTGGTCAGAGTAGGGACTGGGAGAGGAGACAATGCTGATCTGAGTGGTGGGGTCGTTTAGGGACAGAGCAGAGGGGACCCCAGGAAGCTGGTGAGATGCTGAGGAAGTGTGGGGGCTCTGGAGGGGCTCTGGGAGCACAGCCCTGAGCAGTGAGCAGTGGCTGAGCACAGCTGACACCTGGCAGACATGAAAGCCAGGCTTGTTAGCCTGCACAGAGTGCTGATTGTAGCCTCAGCTACAAAACCTCCTCAGCCAAAGTCTCTCAGCATCCCCTGAGCTCTCCCAGGCTGATCTGTGGTGCTCAGCACCCCCAGCAGCCAAGGAGAGCCAAGGCAGATGCTCAGATGCTCCCTGCTCTCCTCTCCCTGCTGCTCCAGCCTCCCCAGCACTGAGCTTGGCCTCTGTTCAGAGCAGGTTCTGTGGTGCCAGGCAGCTGCTCTGTGATGACCCAAATTCCCACCACACTGTGGGGTTTTCTCACCCTCCATCACATGAATGGAGTTGTAACCTGAAAGAGCTTGAGAGGTGTCACGGACATCTTTTATGGAAAATCCTTTCTTTAGGATTTTTCTTCCTGAGAAGCTGAGAGGCCTCAGGAACAAAATGTAACCAATGGTTATCTGCTGCTGTGGAATGCAACAGGTGCATCTGGGATTGGCCCATGTGGTTGTTTCTAATTAATGGCCAATCACAGCCCAGCTGGCTCGGAGTTTCTGTCTGAGCCACAAACCTTTGTTATTCATTCCTTCTTTTTCTATTCTTAGCCAGCCTTCTGATGAAATCCTTTCTTCTATTCTTTTAGTATAGTTTTAATATAATATATATATCATAAAATAATAAATCAAGCCTTCTGAAACATGGAGTCAGATCCTCATCTCTTCCCTCAGCCAAAAACCCCTGTGAAGGTGGTCACAGAGAGGTGCATCCACTCACAGCCTGCAGAAGGGCAGAGGACCTGGGCAAACAGGGGTGGATATGCACCTATGGGGCTTTGGGACTGCAGTTTTTGTGATATGACACTGTAATTTTGGCAATGGATGACATTATATCCCATGGCAGGGGGGTGGAAATAGATCATCTTCATGTTTCTGACCCAAACCATTCTGTGATTCCACATTGTTGGGGTTTGGAGGAGATGAGATGCTTGGCTGTGGCCTCTGAAGGCAGCAGGAGTTAGGAAGGTGTTGCTGATTGCACCATGGAGTCCCCAGGTGCTTTTGGTGGTTATTCTTCAAGAGCCTGGTGAGGGATGGACACTCTGAAAGTGGACCCTGGATGGACCCTGAGTGCTGCTTATGGGAGGATTTAAAGCCTGCACTGGTCCAGCCCACTCCTCCTGACTGAACTGGAGTAACTTGCTGTTTGTTTTCTTTTCCCACAGCTCCCAGAATGGAGAGGAAGCTGGAGCCTGGCCCAACAACCAGTTTGACACAGAGATGCTCCAAGCCATGATCCTGGCTTCAGCCAATGGTTGGTGTCCATCACTCCTGGGAAAACCCTGACTCCTGCTCTGGGGGGCACCTGGGGTCACGCTGATAGAGGAGATGCCGTGGGACTGATTTATCTGGGTTAGCCTGCAAAGGTTCTGCTGCAACAGATCCCAAAGCTGGTGGAGAAGCACTGATATCCCTGCAGAGAGAGGGGTCAGAAGGGATGAAAGGGGAAAAGCACTGATGTCCCTGCAGAGAGAGGGGTCAGGAGGGGTCCAAGGGGAAAAGCACTGATATCCCTGCAGAGAGAGGGGTCAGGAGGGATCCAGAGGGAAAAGCACTGATATCCCTGCAGAGAGAGGGGTCAGGAGGGATCCAGAGGGAAAAGCACTGATATCCCTGCAGAGAGAGGGGTCAGGAGGGATGAAAGGGGAAAAGCACTGATATCCCTGCAGAGAGAGGGGTCAGGAGGGATCCAGAAGGAAAAGCACTGATATCCCTGCAGAGAGAGGGGTCAGGAGGGATCCAGGCAGAGGAGACACCTGGTTCCTGTACACAGGGACACTTCTTCCACCCAAACTCTGTTTGCTTTGTACTGAAACAACACCGCCTGGCTGTGCGGGGGTTGTGTTACATGGAAGAACCAGTCTGGAGATGATGTTTTATGGACTGCTTGGTTCCAGAAAGTCACAATAAATTAAACTTGCTGTGAGGTGAGGAGGGGGAAGGCTGGAAGTTTGTGTGTGGCTGGACCAAGGGAAACAGGGAGTGCCTGACTCAGTATTCCCAACAAACCTTGTGTGCAGAGGAGCTCCCTGAGCCCCTCTGCTCAGCCATGGGCTCACCAAGGTTTCCTCCCCTGGCTGCTGCCGCTGCCTCCTTGCAGTTGTATTCACAGGAGGGTGGTTTGGGGTCGTTTGGGGTTGGTTTGTTCTGGTTTATGGCTGTGCAGAAGCCTTGGGCAGGGAGGGATGTTCCCACGCAGCCACAGCCTCCATGGCTTTGTGTGAAACCAGGACAATTATCATTCTGTGCAGCACTATGGATAAAGAGCCTGCTTTTCATAGAGCCTTTATTTATAAATACCTTCAAGTCTTCCCCCCCCCCCCTTGATTTAAAAATAGAAGCACAGCCATAAAACCCTGTGCAAAATGCTTAGGATGTTTCCTTTGAGCTGTTGGGAGGGAAGGAATCTGAGGGAGGAGGAATGGTTTTGGTGTTGCTTTCTTGGAAAGCTGCTGCAGCTGAGCTTTGCTGCTCTGCAGACACCAGGAGACAGCTGCCGTGGCTGGGGAGGGGGACAAGGTCTGGGGCAAGGCAGTTGTTTACACTCCAGAGAAAGGAACAATGTGAAAATGTGTCTTTGCTCTGCAAAACGACCATGGAAAAACAGCCCTTGGGCTTGCATGTGGTTATCATCACCCAGTGGCTCCAGATCCGGTTTCCTTGCTGGTAAATAAAGCTGTTTTTCTGGCTGCTGCTCCAGCAATCCCCAGGATCAGAGCTAAGCGGGTCCCTTCCAGGTTAAGCACCGACTTTGATGGAGCCCCGGGCCCATTTGCAGCAAATCTCCCCAATCCACTGTCCCAGCCTGTCCCACGGCTCGGGTCTGCCCAGGGGCTGATGGAAATCAAATCCCTCCTGCAGATAATAGCTGTGCCTCATCCGTCCTGCTCGGGCCCTTTCTGTGCTGGATGTGTGCATGGGCACCCAGCAGCAGTTTTCCCTCCAGCACAGCGTTTTCGTGTCACCCTTGCTCTCTGTCCCCTTTCTGCTCTCTCTTTAAGCCAATAGTGTTGATTGGAGCAGGCTTTGATTAGGGGCAGTGCTAATTGCCCATTAAGCTTTGTGCTATCCATCCCTGGGTGTGATTTCCTGGCCATTTAAATAATCCTTATGTTTCACTGTCACCCACTGAGCTCAGTTTGAGCTCCGGGGTGACACGTGGGTCACAGCGATGCCTTGGATGCGTCCTCACCCTGGCCCAGGTGTTTTCCTTGGCTTCAGCAGGGGGGCATTGCTGGCCTGCCAGGCCAGGCCTGCACCATCCAGTCCTTTGAGGATTAAATCCCTTCCCCAATGTTTAAATTGCCATGACAGAGTAGCTGGGGACCTGATTTTCCCCCCAGGGCTGTGACCTTGCTGTAGGGCTCTGTCTCTCTCCTTCCTCTGGACCTTCCTGCCTTGCAGCTGGGAACAGAATGAAAAAACAGCGTTTGGAGTGATCTGAATGGGCAGAGGCAGCTGCTGGGACAGCCCAAGGAGCACAGATGCTCCAGGACCCCAGACTCTCAAGGACAGACATCCTGTCCTTAAAATACTCTGGCTCCAGGGAGAATTTAGAGAGGTGCCATGGGATGGTGGGAGAGCAGAAAGGGGAGGTCCTTGTGCCCCCAGGCAGGGGCAGACACCCTATATTGGGGGCCCTGAAAGCCCCACCAGCAGCTGCAGCAACACCTGCTCCGGGGCTGCCCCGGGGGCGATGGAGCCACTCCTGGTTATTTTTGCCAGAGCCCAAATTCTTGTTTTCCTCCTCAGGACCGTTTGGGATAATGACAGGCTGCTGGTAGAGGCTGAGCATGACCTTTCCAGCAACAAGAGCTCAAGTGCTTTGCTTGGCAAGAGCACCTCGGTGCCCATTTATAACCTTCCATTGTTCCTGTTCTCTCTTCTTTTCAGCCTTAATGTCAGGGTTACCTAGAAACAGCCGGTCGTCCTTACCCGGGACCCATGGCAGGCTGGGAACTTCACCAGTGCCTTTTTCTCCCTGCTGGAAGCTGTGTTGAGACTGCAAATTAATTCATGGGGACTTGGGTGGTGCTGGCACCCCCAGCCCTTCACTGCTCAGAGCCCTGGGGTGGCCTGGAGGGACACAGGGCAGCAATGCCCAGGGAGGAGAAGGTGCCCGAGTGCACCCAGCCTCTGGCTGGGCTGGCTCCAGCTGGGACAGCCCAGAAAAAACAATTCTTCCATGGCTGGAGGCTGTAGTCTGTCAGAGTTGAGATGGAGACGATGCAAAGCAACACACTCCATTTTCAGAAGGCTTCAGCCCTGTTTTTATTCTAGCCTGCATTCTTTTTCTTTTTACACATTCTTACAAAACTCCTAAGTTTGCACTTTACTCATTGGTCACAAGAGACAAAGTGCTCACTGGAACAGGCAGTTGCAGGTTTCTCTTATTTCTCCTTCTTTCTTTCTTGGTTTCTATGTCAATGACCTTGGTAGGAAATTCTTTCAGGGGTTGAACATGGATCCTCTTGTCAAACTTCTCTCTGGGTCACAGAAGTTGTTGTAAAACCTCTTCACAGCCGTCCACCTGTGAGATGGTCCCTGCACATCTCCAGTTATCCCACCCCACGGGGGTCATTTCTAACACCTCCATGGGTGTGGGCTTGAGGTGGTTGCTAATGAAATATTGTGCTGCTAAGGCGAGGGAGGATTAGCAATAAATGTCACTAATTACAGACACATCTCCCCAGCACAATGTCCTGCAAGCTCTGTAGGGTCTGGAACCCATTTCATGGGGACTGTGGAAGAATTCTGCTGTGGGGAATGCTTCCAGAGCAGGAAGTGAAAGGCATTTCCCTGTTTGCACCCCACAGCCCTGCCCCAGTGCACAATATCCCTCTTGTTTTCAGCCTCGCTGTGTTTTCCTCCCTGCCCGCTCCAACAGAGCAGCTGCAGCTTCTCAAACTGCAGTTGCTTCATCCTTCCGACCCCTGCAAAGGGAATGTGTACACAGCCATATTTCAGGGATGGTGGGATGTGCTCCAGCTTTTTGTCCAGCTTTCTGGCTGGCTCAGCCGCCTCCATCTGCTTAGGGGAAAGCAGAGGCAGCACAGAGCTGGTCTGGAGTGAGGAGAAACGCAAGGGGACCCAGCCCACCCCTCTGCTCGTTGTTTTTCTTTGTTCTCACAATCCCTCTGCCTCTGGAAGGAGGGAGCAGCACCCCTGGGCTCTGCCTTGGACCCTTTGGGTGCCCGGGCTGGGTGTCCCCATCCTTCAGGAGAGCCTGGCCCCAGCCATGAGCACGAGGCAGTCAAAGGCTGAGTTGGGAGCCACAGTCTCAGACAAAGGCTGAATTTCAGCAAAGCGTTTCAGAAGGATCCCACCCTGCGCCGTGCACAGGCAGCTGCCCTGGAGCAGATCGTGCAGCAGCTCATGGCAACAGCCTCGCTCATTCCTGCCATCCCCCCGTGCTCCTTCTCCCCCTGCCCCCGTGCATCCCCCGTCTCCATCTGCTCTCCAGCATCCCGGGGGGCCCTGTGCCCCTCCCCGCTGCTCGCTCCGTGCTGGAGCTTTGCATAGCGACAGGAATGAACTCGCCTTCCCCTCCCCCTGCTCCCCGATCTGGACCATCAGACACGCTCTGGCATTGATTTCCTCCGTGCTCGGCTTCCTAGAGCCATTTTGTGGTATTGCAGGGGAGGGGTTTTCTCTCTCTCCTCTCCCGTGTCCTGCTCCCTGAATAAACCTGTGTGCAGAAAAATACCTCGGGCAGGGTTTTAAATGCGGCGGAAAAATAAATAAATATTGGATTTCCTTTAATGCATCACTAATGGTGTGACTGCACAATATGTTCGTAATGGGCAGTTTCGGGGGGGTTCTGTGCCAGATGCCCCGTGGAGAGCTGCGGGGTGATGTTGCTTTGGGTTTGACACCCTGTGGGGCTGTTGGGGTTTGGGTTGGGGGTCTCCAGCTGCCTTTAACATCCCGCCCTTGTCTTTCCCCCCTTGCCCGGCGTTCCCTACAGAAGCTGCTGATGGTAACTCGACCCTGGGCGGCGGCAATGGCACGATGGGGCTGAGCGCCCGCTACGGCCCGCAGTTCACCCTGCAGCACGTCCCCGACTACCGGCAGAACGTGTACATCCCGGGCAGCAACGCCACCCTCACCAACGCCGCCGGCAAGCGCGACGCCAAGAACGCCGCCCCCGCCGGAGGCAACAAGAAGAAATCCGGGAAGAAGGAGAAGAAGTAGTGAAGAAGAAAAAGGAGACCTTAGAGCTACAGGGCAGCCGGCTCCAGCACTCCCCCAAAACCACAGCCCAGGCCGGAGGACGAATGTGAATTTTTTTTGTGGTGCAAAAGTAGGAAATGCTGCGAATGTATCTCGTCATCATCAGGGCTGAGAGCAGGGGCTCGCTGCTCTCAGGTCTCATGATGAAAACCAATCCGGAATCTAAACCCAACACAAACAAGTGCCCTGTGAATAATGTTTTGTACAATCCCTCGGGTATTAGAATATGCAAGGGCGGAAGGTCTTTTGCCATGTCTTTGGATCCAATTTGCTCCCAGGTAGTCCAAGAAAGGCACAAGGCTTGTGCTCGGCTTTGCCCAGTGTAAATAATTTTAATGTGGATCTTTTAATTTATAGCCCTTCAGCTATTTTTTGGAAAGGAAAAAGAAGTTCTTAGCTTAGAGCCCACGCTCCAGTTCTTTGCTGTTAAATTTTCCATTTGTAAAATTCACCCCCAATCAATGAATAGCGATGGCTTTTGGAATTTGGAAGTTGGTAGGGAGTGCTTCAGTTCCTGCTTACCTGTCATCTGAAAAAAAAAAAAAAAAAGTGTTTATATTGCATGAGTCAAAGGGAATATGGCAAAGCTGCATCCTAAGCATTTTTTAATTTTTTTTTTTTTTTTTAAAGTGTAACCACTAATGGCCTGAAATATGATAAGGAAAAAGCCCTCCAGCTGTGTGAGAGTCAGGGAATTCATGAGGAGCATGCCGAGGTGTGCGGCAGCTGCCCCGGCGGTTCTAGGGGTCTCCGAAGAGCAGACACATCTCAAACCTTCTTTGCAGTAAATATTTATATGTACAGTCGATGTTCTTATGGAATTAAGGCTAAGAGAGCCTCGCTCCCCCGCGGCCAGGCCTGGCCAGGTCCCCCAGGGACACGGGGACGAGGTTTCACTGTCTGCACACGGTGTCTGCATGCACGTCCCTCTCCTCACACCTGCACTAGCGCCGTAGCTCCACGGACCCGCACAGTCCTCGCATGCCCACGTGGTGTGAACGCGCCGGCAGCCACCCGGGCTGCCCTGGGGAAGGGGTGGGAGGGGGTGGGATGGCTCAGGCGGGGTGGGGAAACTCAATATTGCTTCTAGTTCGGGCCCCAAAGGTTCTTTGGGGTGGTCGGGCGGTTCTTGGGGTCTCGCCCAAAGGGTGGGATCTGCAGAGCTGCCGGTGCATGGCTTTGGTGCAGAGTTGGTGGCTGAGTAAGTGATGGTTGTTTTGGTGGTGTTTGGGGACCAGATCCAGACAAGGGACCCAAGAGCAGGGGGTGACGCTGCAAAACGGGGGGCAGTGACTGGGGAGTGGCACGCGGGGCCAGCCCGGAGGAGGAGGTGATGCTCCCGCTGGCTTTGGGCTTCGTGTCCTGCAAGGAGAATGGAAGGATGAGGATTAGAGTTTCTCCATGTGCCCATCACCAAAGCACCAGGCCAGCTTCCCGTAGCAAAGCAGCTCTGAGCCCCCGGGAGAGGCAGAGGGGGGCTTTGTGTAGCCAGAGCCAGGGGAGGAGCTGTGGGGTGGCCCGGAAGGGGCCACACCGAGTTTCCCAGGGGGGGTTTGTGTTGTTTTTTTCCTTTTTTAATCACTAACACGTAACTCACCCAAGCAGACCCAGCCCTTTCAGCCAGGCTCTCCCCAACCCTACCCCCTCCCCAAACCAGGGCAGCAGGAGCATCCTCCATGTTCCATCCAGATCCAGCCTCCTCCGGCGCTGGCTGCACTGGGAGCGGTTCCCACCCTGTCCCCTGCAGCTGCCACCTGCCCCCCTCTAGAAATGCTGTAGCTGAATCGTAGTCTTTATATTTTCTTTTTAATCTGCAATCTGAGGTAGCGTAGTGAGTGTCGTGTATTTAGTGGCGTGTTATTTTTAATTGCAGTAACTAACTTGTGGACATCAGTATTTTCAATTTTCTCTGTATCTTCTTTCCATGTGGTCTGTGCTCCGAGTGTGTGTGAAATGAAACACGTTTGCCCTTTCAATGTGTCTAATATTGAATTATACTTATATATTATATATATGCTTATATCCTTCTTATACCCATATAGACCAATGTCGATGTGTTACACGCAAGTTTTATACTCTAATATTTATATTGCTTTTTTTCTTTGGGAAAAAAAAATAATAAAATGGTTTCTTCTGAATGAATGGTGATTATTCTGGTGGGAAAAGGGAGGCACGGGTGGGGTCTGGCTGACAGGGGGTGGTTCAGCCCCTGCCTGGCTCCAGCAGTGGGGATGCTCTAGGGGCACCCCCAGTCTTGTGTCCCCAGGCCTGCTCTGGTGGCACCCCCATCCTCTGGTCACCCAGGCCTTTGAGGGGAGGGTGGCCTGGCTGTGGATCATGACTGAGGACATGATGGGGTCAGTAGCTGCAGCCCCCAGAGGCTCCAGCTGCCCCTCTCCATCACTGCAGGGATCTGGTCACTGTTGCCCAGTCCTGGAGGATCTGGAGAACCAGACCCAGCTGGAATTCCATCACCCTTCCCCATCACCAGCAGGAATCCACTCTCCTTTCTCCAGCCCTGGTCTGATTTGCTTTTCCCCCTCTCTGCCCTTGGGGACAGTGGGTGGGAGGGCACTCAGATATTGTCACTGGAGCTCCCTGGCCAAGACAATCCTCCCACCCTCCCTCTCCAGGGGTCCAACACAGGCTCAGGAAAAACATCCCGTGGCTCAGGATGTCGCAACCCTGGAGGAAAAAATAAGCTGCTGCTGGCCAGATGTGAGGGGGAGGGTGGAGGAGGCGGGGGCAGAGCAGTCCCAGGAGACAGACAGACAGACAGACAGAGCGCAGGATTGGGGATTGGGGCTGCTCCCCTCTGTTAGCAGAGCACAGGAGGTGTGCAGGGTGTATTCCCCGTTCCTGGATCCCATCCATCCCCACCCAGTGTCTCTGTCCAGGTGCAGCTCTGTGCCCTCCACGCTCTGCCCCCCAAACCTCCCCAGTTCTGCCCTTTCCCACAGCGAGCACCCCCTGATCCCCCCTGACAGACTGACAGACACTCCCCAAATCCCCCAGTGCCCCATGGAGACCCCAAACCCCCCTCCAGCTGCACACAGACCCCTGAGAATCCCCATGCACCTCTCAGAGGGACATCCCTCACCCCAAATTCCCTTGCACCCCACAGACCCAGCTCTCCTGCCTCCCCTGTGCCCACGGGGACAGCCCTGGTCACACACACACACACATGAGGGGTGGCCTCCTTTGGGACAGGTGGTCCCAGACCACACGGGAGGCCGTGGGAGTCAGGGCAGTGCCAGGGCAGGGATTTGCTGCTCTGGGGCCCCGGTGTCACCGTGTCCTCTGTCCCCAGCGCCGAGCTGCTGTCCCTCCCATGCTGGGTCACCTGGGCTGCATCAGGGACAGCTCCAGGGGGATCAATCCCATCGAGCTGCAGCTAATGGGGAGCAGGGCTGAGCACTCCCAGGTGCCACCCACGGGCTGTCCCCAGCACCTGTCACAGCTGGGTGGCTTCATCCCAGGGCACCGGGTACCACTGCCCGCTTGGCTGGTGATGCCACCGGGTGTCTGAGGGCTGGTGGTGAAGGGACCGGGAATGGTCACACGAGTGGGTCCCCAGGGGGGTGACAGCCACCACTGGCAGGGAACAAAGAGGCTTTGCAGAGCTGGGTTTGGCTTGAGGAGGCTCCCGGTGTCCCGAGCCCCGCGGGGTCCCCGTGTCCCAGCTGCGGGTGTTGATGTGTGCACTGAGGGGGCACCTCGAGTTCCATTTCATTTCCCTTCTCTCTCGCTGAAATCACCGCAGGGCACGGCGAGAGCCAGCAAGGGGAAGCCGCGAACACAGACCTGGCCAATTAGCGCTGATGAAGGAAACTCGGTCAGCCGCGCTAATTAGCGGGGACAGGCGGGAGCGGGAACGTGCTCAGAGCAGCGTGGGGAGCTGCGGGAATTCCCGAGCTCGGGGGTGACACGGGGGAGACAACGGGAACAGAGCTGGAGTCACGGTCATGACAAAAGGGACACAAAGAGAGAGGCAGGACAGAGCCCCCGGAGGCGGGGGGTGATGAATGATTAGTGATTAAAAAAGAAAATAATAGAGCCAAGCCAGTTTTCCATTGGATGTGAGGGACATGGCGGGGATGGTGGCATTGCTCAGACATGGTGGGGATGGTGGCATTGCTGGGACATGGCGGGGGTGGTGGCATTGCTCGGGCATTGAAGGGATGGTGGCATTGCTCAGACATCGTGGGTATGGTGGCATTGCTGGGACATGGTGGGGATGCTGGCATTGCTGGGACATGGTGGGGATGGTGGCATTGCTCAGACATCGTGGGGATGGTGGCATTGCTGGGACATGGTGGGGATGGTGGCATTGCTCAGACATCGTGGGGATGGTGGCATTGCTGGGACACGGTGGGGATGGTGGCATTGCTCGGGCATTGAGGGGATGCTGGCATTGCTGGGACATGGCAGGGGTGGTGGCATTGCTGGGACATCATGGGGATGCTGGCATTGCTGGGACACGGTGGGGATGCTGGCATTGCTGGGACACGGTGGGGATGCTGCCATTGCTCCCGGGAAGGAGCTCCTGGCTGCGGGAGGTGTTTCACTGCAGCCCTGCTGGGGACCCAGGGGCTCTGCTGGGCTGGGGCTGGGGGTCCCAGCCCCTGTGCCCGCTGCTGGCTGTGGGGGTGAGGGGCTGTGTGGGGGTGAGAGCAAACTCTGAGGTGCCCAGCCAGTTCCAGATGGGGTCCTGTGCCTGGCCAGGGTGTCCATGCTGGGTTCTCTGAGTATCCTTCCACTGCCAGGAGGGGCTCAGATCTTCCTCCACCCTGGTGAAGGCACCCCCACCTTTCTTCCAGCCCTCCTGCTGCTGCTTCTCCCCCTTCTCCATCTCCTTTCCCCACCACTGGGATTAGCTCAGCACTCTCCCCCCCCTCCCAGGTACAGCCCTGGTGTGGGACCAGGGAGCCTCCACACCCCGCAGGCAGCAGGGCTGGAAGCTCTCGGTGGTGCAGGAACAGCTCACACAGTGCTGGAGCCCCCTTTGTTCCCCCTCTGGGGATTGTCCCCAGCTCACTCCCTGCTCCTGGCAGAGCTGGAGCATCCAGGTGCCACAGGTAGTGCTGGTCCCATGTCACCAACCAGTGGAGCCTTTGTTTGCAGCAGTTTTGTTTTGTTTTGTGGGTTTTTTTCCAGCTGACCTTGAAACCGAAACACAACAGAAAATTAAAATTAAAAAAAAAAAAAAGAAAATAATAGAGCCAAGCCAGTTTTCCATTGGATGTGAGCTGAGCTGACCTGTCACTGGGCCCCAGGGAGGGCTGGGTGGGGAGCTGGAATCTCCATCAGGCTGTGGTCATGGGCTGAGTCCCATCAGCAGCTCCTCCAGTCATGACTTCACCCAGCAAAGCAGGGGGGTGGAAATCACCCAAAAAGCTGAGTTTTCATGCAGGTCTCCCTCACCCCTTCCTTTGGGGTCCCAAAAGGCACTGGGGAGGTCACCCTGGGTGTGACACAGACACTGGGAGCTGGAGGCTGCTCAGAGCAGAAGACACCCCTGGAGATGCTGGCAGCAGGGGCTTCTCCTGCCATAAACACCTCAGAAGGGAGGGCAGCCAATGCCATCCAAAAGCACTTGGAAATCCAAGTATTTGGGATAAAAGACGTCCAGAAGGGATCCATGGGGGCAGTGGGTGCAAAAGGCCGGGTGAGGAGAGGGGATATCCATAGCAGGGGGTGTGATGGGAAATGCCCCCCAGCCCCCCTGCCCATGACTGCCCTGGGGTTTTATTGCCCCTGACACAGCCGGCTCCTGTCACACCTCACATCCCCCCCCGAGGGGGAAGCGAGAGGAGTTTCACCATCCTCCACATCCCTTTCTGCTTCCTAAATTCACTTCCTGCCGCTGGGATTTATTATTATTTTTAACAATAATAAAGCGTGCGTAGATGGAATAAAATTTTCCTTTTGCTGACTGAGACCTCGTGACCGCGGGGAAGGAGAGGGGGGAGGGAGGGCCCTGCTGGCCCTTGGCCGCCCCCTTTGGGACTCGGGGCTGCCAAAGGCTCATCCATCACGGCAAGGGGCAGGAGCAGCCCTCGGCCGCTCTCCGGGGAAAATGGGATGTGGTGGGATTTTGCCCTTTTGCAGCCTGTGTCACCTGCTGGTGGCCTCCCCGTGAGCTGCTGCGAGAACACTCTGTCTGTCTGTCTGTCCTCCCTGTGGGACAGAGCCCTTGTCCCCGCCGTGCTGGTGGCCGGGTGCCCGAGGAGATCAATCCTAGGGAAGCAGCCAGAGCCTGAGGCCATGGGGCTGGGAGAGAGGAGGGCAGGAGAGCAGCGCCAGGAGGGATGAGGGCAGTGCCAGGAGGGATGAGGGCAAAGCAGACAAGGATTCTGGGCACTGCTGTTCGGGCACAGAGCGGCTGGCAGGGCTCAGCTCCAAGGGGATGCCCCTGCGGGTTTCCCCTCTCCCGAGCCCCCACACCCTGCTGGAACTCGCTATGGCCCCTGCAGGGCTGTGGGTGGCACTTGCCAAGGTCACTGTCACCGAGCCAGCCCTTGTGCCTGGTCCCAGGGTCTGCTGCTGCCCCTGCAGGCAGGAACATCCCTCTGCTCCCCCCGAGCCCAGGGCTGCCCCCCAAACCGGGCTGTGTTGATTCCTTCAGGCATTCCTGCAGCCCCCATTAACCACAGGGAGCTGGGGCAAAGGCAGAGCTTTGCAAATCCCCACCCAAAAAAGTCAAGAAAAGCCCAAATGCTCCTCTGGGAAGGTGCAGGGGCTGCCCGTGCCCAGTGCTGCCTGCCTGCCCCTTCTCCCTTTGGCACATGACAAAAGCAGCCAGGCCCGGTTTGGGGAGGGGGTTTTGGGCCCCTCTCCCCCAGAACGGGCAGCAATGCTGAGCCAAACCACCCCAAGCTTTTCTGGGGCCTCTGGGAGCAGGAAAGGGAGCAGATCCAGCTGTGCTGGGGTGTGTTCCTCCGTGGGCACAGGGATTTGGTGACACAGAGCCCAGCACACCCTGCTGGCCAAGCTTTGGGAGCCACTGCCAGTTTGGGGCTGGGGAGCAGAGACACATCCTGGGAACCCACAGGGCTCAGACAGTGGGGCTGGGTTTGGGATTTGGGATTTGAGAGGAGCCCTCCTGGGTGAGCTCCACAGGGGAGGGAGAGCAGCC